CAGTCTCCACCTTCTGGGTTCAAGCGATTCTCCTGCCTCAGCCTCCCTAATAGCTGAGATTACAGGCATGGGCCACCATGCCCGGCTCATTTTGCATTTTTAGTAAAGACGGGATTTCTCTATGTTGGTCAAGCTGGTCTCAAACTCCAGACCTCAGGTGATCCACCTGCCTCGGCCTCCCAAAGTGCTGGGATTACAGGCGTAAGCCACCACACCCAGCCCACTGTGCTTAATTTTTAAACTCAGAAAGGAAATATTTTTAACAGATCTAGTGTGGGCAAGGGCCAATAAGTACAGTGGTATAATGAATTATCTTCCAAGGACTGGAGTGTGAACCCATGAGAGCCTTTGAGAAATTAGCCCAGAAAATAGTATGGCTAAAGTGGAGAAGTTGTTTTGGTATTAATTGGCTTCATTTGGAAAGTCTTAAAAGAGAGACTTCCTTAAACATTATCTTTCTGCTATTAAACACCCTCTCCCCAAAGTCCTTCCTAAGGTTTTCTTAGTGTGATCTTAAGCATGGCTTTATGAAGTACTTGCGACCATCTCTTTGAAATATTCACTTGAAGTAGAAAATATACAATCTCTGCAGTGAATATTGCATTGTTAGGCAATTTAATTTTCATTATTAGCTCTTAGACAGCTAATCCAAATCAGGAAAAAATGGTAAAGAAGCAAACTCCAAATTCATTAATAGGAAATAAGTCCAGATTTTCCTCCCATTTGAGAATTAGATGCTCAGAAGAACAATACCTTTAGCTATAACTAATCTGGAGGAATCCCATTTGTACCAAAATTCAAAGCAACCTAATGAGAAAGAGGCATTGTGAGAACTGTCCTGCATAAGCTCGAAGGCTCAGTGCCTTGCAGTTTCCAGTGAGTCTCTTGCAATCTGAGTTTTTATCAGCAGTGAACACCTCAGTGCTTTTCACTTCCTGCAATGGAGAGAAAGAAACTATCTACAAAAGACATAAAGTACTAGAGTTGAGATTTACCGATAACAGTCCTAGATTTCCAGAACTCTTCAATGTAGAAATCAAACATTTTGTATATACATGTGTATGTTTTTTTCCTCTTGCTAACCATGATGAACAGAAAGGGGAAGAATGAATAAAAGTTTGCTAAGGAAATGTTTGCCATTGTTGGGAAGGCAGAGAACTCCAGCATTTCTTATTTGGCAGGGCAGTTACATTTTCCTGTGGTTTTGGGTGAACATAGTTTAAAAGGAAGAAGTAAATAAACGATCACTTCTGTCTTTCCTTTCATCTTTTTTTTGTTGTTATTTTCTAGGAAATTATTGTGAAAATTATAACCAAAAAACTGGGAGAGAAATATCATAAGAAAAAGGGTATCGTTAAGGTAAGGACATGCAATTATGAATGGAATTTGTGAAAAAAGCTTGGGTCACTAAGTGAAGCTATTTTGGTATTTCTTGAAAATCAAGTCCTGGTAGCAGAAGTACTCTGTCTAAAATTCTTGATTATCCCATGAAATGGAAGCTGAATTCATGATTGTTGGAGAAATATTTCTTTTTCATCCGTAGTTTATACTCAACGTTGATATGTTTTCTTACTAGGACAGATTGTATGTATGAAGTCCCATCAGCGCCTCTTCAAAACCTCAGCATGCATGCCTTGCTTATCAGTAAAATGTATTTTATTTTTTAATCATAGGCCATATATTAAAAGTAATGGCAAAAACTGCAATTACTTTTACACCAGCCTAATAATTATACTGTCAAGGTCTCACGAGGACTTCTTGTGTTTTGCTAGAGAGACCGCCTTTTGGCTACTCTGGGATTTTATTTATTTTTATTTTTATTTTTATTTTTATTTTTATTTTTGAGACAGAGTCTGGCTCTGTTGTCCAGGCTGGAGTGCAGTGGTACGATCTTGGCTCATTGCAACCATC